TATTTTTTCAAAATAGACAATTAATTAATGTCAAAAATTAAAAAAAAAAAAGGATATCTAGAATTGAATGGAGGTAGATAGAAAGTTCTAAAAAAGAAAAAAAAAATGAACAGAGGTAAATAGGTAATAGTGTTTTTAGAAGTAGATCTTTGATAAGTCTAATTCTTATATACATTTATCTACTCTCTTTTAGTTTAGAAATTAATTCTATGGGTATTTTATAATTTAGTCTCATTTAAATTTACATCAATTTTATTGTTTTGTAGGCAAAGATTAAGCAGCAAACTTAATAAGAGTTAATGTTTTCAACTAGTAGTAGTTTGTGCATATAATAATAATTTAGTCATAATTTTTCTCCAGATATTGGATTGATGTGATTCTTGAGGCATTGAAAAGCTAAGAAGCAAAGCTACAATTCATATTTTATAGGCTCAACCTAGATCAATCGTCTTCAAGTTGCAATTTCAATTTAAAGTGTTGATTCTAACACATAAATTGTTGGGCAAATTGCAAAAAAGGGAGCTCAGCTGGGTTTTCAATTTATCCAATTAAGGTGCATCAAGGTTATGGGCCGACAACAATTTAGGCCCAAACTTATAAGCCCTAGAAGAACAATGGGTTTAATAAGGGAAAAAGACAAACAGAAGTAGGGATATCAACGAGGTCCCGTGGGGTCGGGGAGTCCCTCTCTCTCCCCCTCCCCATCCTCATTCCCACCATTGGATTCCTGTGGGGATTTTTGACGGGGAGCAGATTTTACCTTTCGTCCTCGTTCCCTGTAGAGATCCCCATTTCTCACCTATTAATATTAAATTATAAATTTTTTAGTCTTTTACATATAATTAATTAATATTAAATTATAATGAATAAAATTCTAAAAATTCAAATACAATTAACTAAAATTTTTTAAATATAAAATCAAATATAAATTGTCCAAATATAAATAAAAATCAATTCAACATAAATAACTAAACCAACAATTAACAAATTTGTTCCAAACATAAACAAAGATTAATTCAAGCTAAACTAAAACATAAGCAAAATTAATCTAACATAAATAAAATAATTAAACCAACATAAAAAAATCAGTACCGAGAAGGGCAAGGCCGTAAGGGCAGAACCACATATGGCTTTGGCAGTCTAGACAGCAGCAAGTAGATGGCTTCGATAGTTTGGAAACAGTAGGCAAATGGCTTCGGTAGCAACAGACCAGCAGTGCTGTGGAGGGAATGGGATCTGAGATGGTCTGGCCGGTGCAAAAAAGAAAATAAGGCACGACAGAAGGTGAGCACTGAGAAAGGCAAGGGCAGAATCGTAGAAGGGTGGTAATGGAATGGAGGGAATTCAGATAGCAGAGCCGTATAATAGAGGAGAGGGGAAGCCGGGGACGGTGAAAATGAAAATTGAGAAATGAATTAGGGTTAAGGTTAAATGTATGTAGGGGAATGGGTTGAGTTGGGTAAAATTGAGTTAAGTTTAATTTTGATTGAATTGAGTTTGAATTTGAGTTTGGGTTTAAAGGTTGAATTAAATTTAAAATTAAATTAATTTATATTTGTTTTAATTTTTTTGAGGACAGGGATCCCCATGGGGCCCTGACTGGGGGAAATTCCCCACAAAATTTTGCAGGGGGGAAAATGCTCCCCATCCTCACCTCGTCCCCATAACAGGAATCCTCATGGGGCCCCACAAGGATCGGGGAAAATTGCCACCCTTAAGCAAAAGCCATATGATATATACGCGTGTATATATATATATACATCGATTGCGTTTCAAAAAAGGGAACGCCACCTCTGGTTTTTCTCTTTGCTAGCCTTACTTTGAGAAATTAGTAAAGTGATGTCCACAACAGCACAACACACAACTAAGGAAAAGAAGCCCGAGCAACATTTCAGTTTTGCTCTTATTTTTAGAGACTAGTTTTCTCATTCTTAATTCTTCCTTTTACACTCTTCTTTGTTGGAGTTTTTCTTTAATTGTTATGGCTGTTCTAAACTTGATTATGTGTGGCTAAATTACTTGGATTAGGGTTGATGGATTTTAATTCTTGAATTATATAATTTATTTTAGTTTAATTCAAGACCTATTGAGTTTATGTCATTGAACTTAATACATTAAAAACCTAATCACCTTTCAATTGATTTAGTGATTTATATATGAACTTGAGAAAAAATTATGTAAATTAGACCAATAATAATAGAAATCATGTGTTACATTACTAGAAAATAGTATTTAACCGATAAAAATATAATTGACAACCGAAAAGCTATCGATTATACTCATATAATCAACAAAAATTTTGTCAATTATGGTAATGTGTTGATTATATGGGTATAATTGATAACCAATTCTATTGATTATAGGTATAACTGTTAATTATGTCAAAATTTTATAAATATATATGTTAATATTTAAACTTCCTTTATTAGCATTTATAAATATTACATATCTTATAAATCATAAATTTGATAATAAAAGTTTAACACTATCAAATATGAGATTTTTTTAAATTAATATTATATATATTTTGTGTATATATAGTAACAAAATTAACTATAAATATATAGTATTAAAATTGATAATTTAATTAAAGTATATATCTTTATAATATTAGTTAAAAATAATCTCACATTTGATAGTGTTAAATTTTTATTATTAAATTTATTATTTACAAGATATATAATATTTA